GACGAACGACTACAATTCCCGGCATGCAGCGCAAGGCAACATGGGGCATGGTAGCGCGGCCCCGGAAGACTCCCATTCCCGGCAGGCAGAGGAAGCCGGGCTCCATGACGTCTCCCGGGGGCCGGGCCGCTCCGCTCCCTCCGGAGCCCAGGAAGCGCCGCAGAGCCCCAGGGTGCTCCGTGGCCCAGGACTCCCCGCGAGGGCCCTGCCCCGGCGTCCCCGCCCTCCCCAGGACTCCCTCCAGACTGCTCCGACAGCTGCCGCCCCTCCGCAACCGCCCGAGAAGGCCCAAAATAGCTGCTAAAGGCACAGACAGCACCGAAGTCGCCATTGCTCCCCCAACATACAGGACAGGGCCACAGACAGTTAATATCGCTGCATTTTCAAGTCCCCCAACACGGTTCTGTTTCAGGGCCCAACGAAGGACAGTTTCGGTTCAGAAAGAAAAGGCGTGTCCGACTTTCGGACACGCGGTGGCAGCGCGAGCGCTCTGCATCGCTCTGCGCATGCGCGCTGTCCCTTCCCTCTTGCAGTACCGATTTTTGGACACGAGATGGCAGCAGCGAACCCTCCCGACCTCTCTGTGCATGCGCGGTCCTCCTCTTGCATTACCGAATTTCGGACACGCGGTGGCAGCAGCGAACGCGCTGCATCACTCTGCGCATGCGCGCTGCCACCTCCCTCTTGTAGTATTCAACTTTGAACACGCGGTGGCAGGAGTGAGCGCTCTCAACCGCTCTGCGCATGTGTGCTCCCCCCTCCCTCTTGCAGTACCGATATTTGTACACGCGATGGCAGCAGTGAGCACTCTCGACGCTCTGCGCATGTGCGCTCCCCCCTCCTTCTTGCAGTACTGGGATGTGAACACGCGATGGCAGCAGTGAGCACACCCGATGGGCTGCGCATGCGCGCTCCTCTCCCTCTTGCAGTACCAGTGTTCGGGCACGCAATGGCAGCAGCGAGCGCTGACAACCGCTCTGCGCATGCGCGGTCAGCATTCCTTCTTGCAGTACTCTAGGACACGCGGTGACAGCAACGACCGCTCTGCGCATGCGCGCTCCCCCTTTCTCTTGCAGTACCCGATGTCAAACACGCGATGGCAGCAGCTAACGCTCCCGACCGCTCTGCGCATGTGCGTTTCCCCCCCCCCCCCTTCCTCTTGCAGTACCCAACGTCGAGCACGCGATGGCAGCAGCGAGCCCTCCCCACCGCCTGCGCATGCGCGCTTCCCTTTCTCTTGCAGTACCTTTTCTGGACACACGAAGGCAGCAGCGAGCGCTCCTCACCGCTCTGCGCATGGGCGCTCCCCTCCCCTTGCAGTACCCAACGTCGGACACGCGATGGCAGCAGCGAGCGCCCCGACCGCTGTGCGCATGCGCGCTCCCCCCCCCCCGCAGTACCCAATGTTGGGACACGTGGTAGCTTCAGCGAGTGATCGCCAGCCTTCTGCGTATGCCCACCGTCCCCTCAGAAGACAGTGCTTATTTTCTCACATGTGACTGGAGCAGTCATCGCTGTAAAAGCGATGTGCACTTTAATCCCTGCTCCCCAGCCTCTACTGTTGTAGTACCGACTTCCCGACACATGGGATCGTCAGCGAGCGCTCTCGACGGCTCTGCGCATGCGCGCTCCCCCACCCTCTTGAAGTACCGAATTTCGGACACGAGATGGCAGCAGCGAGCTCTCCGACCGCTCTGCGGGTGCCTGCTCTCCCAATCCTCTTGCAGTACGCATATTCGGACATGCGATGGCAGCAGAGAGCCCTCAAGGGTGTTCTGCGCATGCTCGGTCACGTAGCTCGTTGCAGTATCGATTTTCGGACACGCGATGGCAGCAGCGAGTTTTCCCTGTCCCTATGTGAGTGCTTAACCCCACTTGCCCCCCCACCACCTATGTGTAGTATCAGTTTTCGGACACTGATACTTTCCGCTTTCCTGCCGAGCACGCTCGGTCGCTCTGCGCATGCGCGCCCCGCCCCATTGGTGTAGCCCTTGCACCCGCGATGTCAGCACCGCGCGCTCCCTGAGCACTCTATGCATGCTGTCGTCTCCCCCCTCCCAACTTGCAGTAACAGCTTCTGGCACGCAATGGCAGTTCCGCACTCCCAAAGTGCACTAGTCCTGCATCCCCTGCCTTGACTTTGCTCTACTGAGTTAGTGATATAAGGCAACTGGAGGCCTCCAGCCTCATTAGCGTAATTTTTTTTCCACTCCATTGTGCTTTAGGGAGAAGCCTGGGGCCTTGCTCATTTTTCTGTCACTGTGATCCAATTGTTTTGATTTGCATGTTTTTTTCTTTTTTAAAGGGATCATATTGAAGTTGCTATTAGGGTTTAAATAATAGGAACCGATTATTTTTATATAGAAAGATATTTTTTCTCCACTCTCAACCTCGCCTAAAGCAGACAGCCTCTTCAAAGGCAGCTGCAGGAACAATGCTGCCATCCAGTCATTTCTAAGAGCTTAATATGACATTTGCCCATCTTGAGTTGTTCTCAAAATGGGCATACTCATGCCACCTTTAGTTGCAGTACCACTTTTTTAGATAGGCCAGTACCCCAGTCATCCATCTGAAAATGTAGGATGCATGCATGTAATTCTTTTGCAGAACTAGTTTTTGGCACGTAATGGCAACAGTAAGCATCCCTTAATGCTCTGCGCACATGTACCCCCACTGCTTACCAGTACTGGAGGAAGGCGGTATGCAGCATCGTCCCCTACAGGTGACATGTGTGCTACTTTTCATGTTCATTTTTTTGTCTGTTTTTATTTTTTTAAACAGTGACTATACTCCAATGGCTATTAGTTTGTGAAAAATGAGGACTTGAGCTTTTATATAGATACGCATATTTCCACCAGCCTTACCTGGCCTGAAGTGGGCAGCTTCTTCTAAGGCTGCTGCATGAAAAATGACACCCAGTCTGACCTTGTCATTTCTAGGAGGTTAATATCATGTCTGTCAAGTCTCAAGCAGAAGTCAAAATTGCCACACTAGTACCCCCTTGCATTGCTGTACTGTCTACCTTGATAGGTGTCTACCTTGACTTCAGCAAGGCTTTTGACACCATGTCCCATAAAATACTCATAGGAAAGCTCTGAAAGTTTGGACTGGACAGATGGACAATGAGGTGGATTGAGGACTGGCTCAATGGCAGAGCTCAGAGAGTGAAAGGGTAAATGGTGAATCCAATTGGCATCCCTCAGAGGTCAGTACAGGGCGCAATGCTGTTCAACTTGTTCTTCAGTGATTTGACATCCTCAGCAAGCCTGGGTGGAGTGGTCAACACTCCAGAGGGCTGTGCTGCCAGTCAGCGGGACCTGGACAGGCTGGAGAGTTGGGCAGAGAGGAACCTCATGAGGTTCAATAAAGACAAGTGCAGGGTCCTACACCTGGGCAGAAATAACCCCAGGCATCAATACAGCTTAGGGGTTGACCTGCTGGAGAGCAGTGCCACAGAGAGGGACCTCAGTGTCCTGGTTGACATCAAGTTAAACATGAAGTAGCAGGGGCCTCAGGACCAAGGAGACCGACGGGATCCTGGCTGCATCACAAGGACATTGGCAGCAGAGCAGGGAGGGGATCCTGTTCCTCTGCTCAGCTCTAGTGAAGTCACACCTGGAGCTAGACTCCCCAGGACAAGAGGGACATGGAGCTTCTGGAGAGGGTCCAGCATAGAGCGACAGAGATGATTAAGGGACAGGAGCATCTGTCTTATGAGGAAAGACTAAGCGATTGGGGATGAGATCCAGTCAAGTCCTCCTTTCTGCAGGAAAGGAGGCCAGGGCTGACAGGGAGAGAGCACAATTCTTTCCCCATAGTGACTTCAGACATTTTTTGGCAGCATTTCTGGCAGCATGGAGCAGCATCACTCTTTTTTCCTCAGTTGTACTACACTCCTACTAAGCTACCAGACTTGTCTAGAGTGGCAGTCTGTCTCTTGAAGCAAATTTGCTCTAAACTCTGCAACTACTTAAACTGCTTACCTCCAACAGTGCTACTTGATTTTTTAAAAAAAAGAACAAGGGGGGGGATGAAAAAATGGCCTTCAAGTCATAGCCTTATTAGGCTATGAATGCCCTCCTTCACAACTAGCTCTAGTGAGTACATATGAAATATTCAATAGTTCAGTGTCTCAGTGTCTGATGTTGGCCTAAGTTATACCAACTAATTCAAAAGAAAAAAGGGTTTTTTTTCTTTTTCTTTTTCCTTTTTTTTTTTTTTCTCCTATAAATCCAAGCTGAAGTTCTTCAGAAGACAACCACCTTCACAGACTTTGGGGCTTGGGTTTTTTCAAATGGTGTCCCGGGAAAACATGATCACCACGCACATACACACACACACACCACACACTGTAATGCAAATACATGATGCTAAGGGTTACCACAATGTGCACAGAGGCACGCAACTTTATAGTGTCCAACTTCAAGTCTTAGTGATGACAGCCTAGCTCCTGTACTGCTTGCAGTTAATTCTTAAAATGTCAAGTACGTTTATTTCTCACAAGCTTGCTTACACCTAACTGATGTAATAAAAAGACAAGTTCAAGGCCATCATCATACCATTCTCTTCACAGTTACAGATCATTACTACAATCATTAAGAAAAGCCACCATAACTACTAATAGCAAATAGAATCCTAACTTCGTTCATAAAAAAAAAAAGGCTTCTTTAAAAAAGACCAGAAAAAAGTTTAAATATCTGTTACAAATGTGAATTCACAGACATTAGTAAGAGGTACCACATATTACAGCCTTCTAAGCTTTCAAGTTTATATTCTGGTAAACATCCATGTTGTGGACAGGAGAGAGAGAACACCACCAGTAGAGGTGCATACTTCATTATCTTTATTTATAAAGAAGTGACAACACTAGAAAACACATTGATAACCAGTGCTTTGAACAGTTAAGGTGGCATCTAAAAAAGACTGATTGAACGAAACAACTTTAAGGTTTTATCAAGTTGCATATCTGCCAGGAATGGTGAAATGCAAGACTTTACATCTGAATATTCCACAACGGAATAGCCACATGATATCAAATATAATCTCCAGTTTCATAACCAGTTCATAAAAAAAATCCATCATCAATTGCTAGAAGTCCACAAGTTCTTATTGCTTTTTGAGTGAAACACACTTCAAATAAACTGAAAACCAAACAATCTTTACAGTGTCTTACTTATCTTCCTGCTCATCTGATGTTAACACTGCAAGCAATCAGTTATGACACAGAGGCATTAACAAAAAATTAAGCACAAGGATATTCCCCACATCCCACCCTCCCCACCCCCCAAAACCCACAATTACCACTTAGTGCAGTAGAGGAGTAAAACTTCGTAGATAAAACCAGAAACCTGACTACAATAAGAAGGGAGCATGAAGGGAATTACATCTTAAATATTTAAAATTTGAAGTTCTTCAAAATAACGCCTATCATCCCATGATTTAAAAAGGGAAGTTGCTTTATATATCTAATTCTTACACATGCTGAGTAGTTCTCAAGTCCACTGAGTTCCACTTGGCAGCAGTTGATTTTGAATTCAACAATGCTTCAAAAACTACAGTAATACTTAATGCTCATTTTACTAAAGAAAGCAAGAAAATAAATGCACATTGATGTTTTTCTTTGCCAGCTCAACATCTCCACAGCACTTCCACTGCCATAAGCAGTACTAAGCAGTGTCAAAAGTTCTACCAGCATCACTGTCTTCAGAATCGTCCTCAGAAGCTGTTGAAACAACACAGTATAATCAGAAGACTTCATAAAGGACTGTGAAATGGAGAATTACTTCACTTTTAGTTTAAGTTGAATAGTAGAAATAAAGATAATTTTAAAATAAAGGACATTACAAATAACTAAAATCCTAAAAATCTTTTAAATATTAATTATTCAGCTTAATTTTAAACAACTTCCATGTCTGAAGATGTAGCATTTTAAAACTCAAACCGCATATTACCAGCTGAGGTGGTAATACCTTCCTACTCTTCCTCAATAATAAAAGGAAGAGCATGTAAATATACCATGGACTGAACTTTTATGTAACATTTATAGTGAGCAATTCCAACAGTAGTAACAGTAGAGCCATGACAGCTGCACCCAACCCAAAAGTGATTCATAGTTAATTACTTTCACAATAAAATTCTGGAAATCTTCAATACTGTAAAAAGACTATCTATTAAAAGCAGTAGAAACTCCTCTCCCCACCCCATCCCTTATTTCAGTGTCCAAAATGAACATGAATTCTTTGTATTCAAAATGAACATGCACCCTGAATCCTTGTAAGGATTTCCTTATGAGACAAATTTAAAGAACAATGCACACTTGTCAACTGTGACAAAAAGTCATCACGAACATCTCCAATAAGTTTGTAATGTGTTATCTTGGTGTAACAGGCATTTTAATCGTCCTCTTGAGCAAGCTCTGTTTTCAAGAAAGTTTATGCACCCAAGAGCCAAAGTCAAATTCTGACTATAGAGGGATGTATGGTCTGTCCTGTCACATCTGCAGTCCCTCCAAAATGCTTCTTAAAAAGGAAATTGTCTGAAATGTCACTGAAAAAGTAAGTTTTACTTCAGTATTCCTCACCTGTAAGTTATGTAATGCCTCGCTCAAATATAGATCAAACTGCTGTGTGAAAACAACACTTATTTAGATTATTTTCTACTATAACAAGGAAACACATAAATAAGAAGCTCTCACCTACATAGTTAACCTTTATTATATGAAATATTAGTTACCTAATGCCCTGAATATAGAAATAATCAATTGCTTAAGCTAAAGGAAAACTTATTTCCTTTGACAGCACCTCCTATTGTACTCCCAAGTACCAAGTTTTATGGACTGAAGGATCAATTCATATACAAACTTTACATGTCGAGGGGGACAGATCGGCAGAAGTGAACTAGAAAAATAAGTAGTCCAAAGTATCTTTCCATTGCCTATTCATAATGATCAGAAATAATGCTTAGATGCAGCTTGCGCTTACCAGAATTCAGTACCTACTCATGAGCAGAACCCCAATGAAGGTCTCATACAATGAGAAGTAGACTAATCCTTTGTAAAAGTTGGCAACTGTTAAATGTGATTCCAAAAGTGGATAATTCCAAGTACTATGATCATTAACTACAGTCCAATTCAGTCCAAAACACTGCTTTCCTACTAGGACTCATGTTAAGTGCTACAGACCAATGGTCACCACCAGTTCCATAACTAGAACCAAAATAACTAAACTGTAGCTAGTGAAGGATCTTTGTATCACTTGTAGAAGACATTCTTCAGTCCCATCTGTGGTCAGGAAATCAATCATGGAAAATAAAATCATTTCTTCTCCAAAATAATTCTACTAAAACTGGGGAAAAAGCACTATTGGGTAAAGTGGGTTTTTTTAGAGACTAGATTTGGCAGTATGAATCTTGTCAGTGGGGACGGTATCCATTCAATTTTGAGTGAATCTAATGGGGGCAGGGGAGAAACACCTACTTTCAATATCTTCCATATGTGCCTGAAGAGTTCTTGCAAGGTTAATAAACTAGAAACAAGGCAGAGAAAAAGTAGTTTAAAAGTTGCAAAGTTATTCGCGGAAATTTGCAACAAGTTAGTAGAGAAGGCTTCTTTTTTTCAGTAGTATCATGCTCCCAAAGACTTACACCATGTCCCTTATCCTAACCCATTTGCCCAATTTACAAAATCAATATAAAATGTATTAAAAGACCCACATTAAACTTCAAATTGCTATTATGCAGTAATATCAGTTTCCAGTCTATGTCAAATGTTTCTGCCAGTAGTTAATGGCATCATCTTCATGTTGTATAGTCTGTAAAACACATCTATTTTTTTCATATGAAAAATTGCCAGTTTTACAAAAATCAACTCTTTCTATAAATTATAATGCAGAGAAATGAAATCATGCCAGTTAAGGTGCAAGTATCATGTAAAAATACATTTAAGTAAACATTTTAACTAATGCTAGTAAATTACACTGCAGCTAGTCAACTTTAGAATGCCACGCTGAAGTATATATTTAGGGCCCAATCCAGTAGACAAAGGTTCCAAGGTCCACACCTTTGCAACACGGAATGGCAGAATGAAAGAATGTGACAAATATTTTCAGCTGCATGTCTTACACAGAAGAATGGTAACCCCTAGTTTCATATAAGTTCACTATAATCATGATATCTGCAGAGGTATTCAGTTACCAATAACCTTGACAAAAGTGATTTTGCCCATATTACCTGCAGTCAAGTAGTACCTTTCATTTCTAAACACACAGGGTGTTCCTAAAGTACAGAAGTCTATAGTTGAGCAATCCACTCCATAAAATAAATGCATACTTACTCTGACCCGTGTGCTGGCCTCGCTTGCAGATCCTAGCATATCAGAAAAGCGCTGTTCACATAAGTGTAACAACACTACAAGGTAGAGACCAGAGCTGATGAATTCATAGTCTGCCTTAAAAGTAGATCAAAAGAAATTTTCAAAGTGTTAGTAATGTGCCTCCATATGTAATTCAAGAAACAGAACTAGAACCAAGTTTTCTTCAAAGCATTATACAATTACTCCTCAGTTGCTTCGAGAAAAAATACAGAACGACTGTTAAAAAGCTATTATAGTTGGGGCTCTTTTTGCTCACCCAAGACCTAATACGTTATCTCTGAAGTTAGATAGAATGACTTTCACAAATGAGTTCTAAGGCAATATATCTAGTCCACATGCAAGAATCCAAGGATCAGAGTATAATATCAGGTGTAAGAATTACTTAAAAAAAAAAATGCAGAAAACTACAATGCTTTGCTAGCAGCCACTGAAAAGCCACCCATGCCTTAGATAAAGAAAATAAGAAGAAAATATTAAAGGAATGTTACGTTCTTATAAATATTCTGAGAAACGATTCTTTCTGCTAACACAAAAATTTACAAAATGCTATTGCTGATTTTACAGAGGAGCAATTTTACTTTAGGAACAAGTTCTAAAGCTCTTCCGCTTCTATCAGGGTACACTGACATAGTCACCAATACTCAGCACTGTAAAAATATTTCATGGTACTATCAAGAAAAATGTATTCATAAGCCAGTCCAAGTACATGGAACTCAAAAATGGAAATGCAGTTAAGATACCTTTCTCTAAACAATAAGGAAGCTCAAGGGTTATGTTTACCTAATTTACACTTTAACTTGTCAGGTAGGTCTTTTTACATTCACAGAACCCAATTCAGAGGCATGAGAAAAACCTCTGAATAAAGTTCACTAAAATAACCCCAGCCTTTGTTAAACATTCATTAAAGAAAAAAACTAGTCCTTCTAAGATGCTGCATTTTATATACACAGAGTAATATGGGCCTTAAAGGAATAGCTGCGAGCTTTGTTATAAAGTGTTAGTCACTACTACTCTAAAAGACATGATGAAGTTTTTAACGGCAGTTTTAAAGTAAGTTTTTAAATTGTGCTTAAAAATAGTTACATGGAAAGCCAAGACACCACTAAAAGAACCTGAAACTCAATCTAATTCTATTCAATTTAATAACTATTTCCACTGCACCTATATGGCAGGCACTGGGCTGAAAGCTAGATGATACATCTGCAAATATGAAAATAAGAGATATTACACTTACTGAAAACTCAGAAATGAGAAGCACAGCACGAAGATAGATTTGTCTGAGTATAGAGCAGAAAAAAATCTATTCCACGTTTACATTATTTCATGTGCACAGCAGTCCCTTTGAGAAGGACAAGCATTTTCTTTCTGCAAGGAAAAAACAGCTACCCTCCCAGCACTAACCCAACACTTACCAAATTAGGCAAAATATACTAACTTGTTCATTTGCATGTGCCCTATAGAGTTCATGAATATCAAAGTCTTCAAGATTAAGATGCAACTTCTCTTTACACAGTTCACAAGTAGTTACTGCTTCCAAAGAAGAACCTGGTGTGGAAGGAAAAATTGTGAAAAGCCAGTAAAAAAAAAATCCTAAATGTCAGACAAGAGTATGCCCATATTATAAACTAAAACTGATTCTTGACTTTATCTTGAATATCAAGAACAGAGGAAAACGTTTCTGACAGCAATGTAGTGAGTATCTCTTACTGCCAGAATTTTAATACTACAGAATGTTTGTTCTCCATCAAATTCTATTTATTTTTCTCATGTTTTATCTGGATACTCTTACTGAAAGTCTTGCATAAGGAAAAAGTGTGATTTAGGCTCTTTGATTTCTACAGTATAATCCAAATGTACCCAGGAGTACTAACAACAAGATGCAATTTTTATTATTATGTAGAAGTATCAGATTTAAAACAAGCTGCTCCACAAGTAACATTAAAAAAAGCAAGCTAATGGTGGATTTGGATCATATACTTGTTAACTGGCATGTAAGCAGCTGCATTCATATATTTTAAGTAGCTGTTGGCTGAGACTTTGCACGCATTCCTAATTAGATGTGGGCTCTTTGATATTGAGTGAAGTAAACAGATGCCAGCATCTTCCTTCAGTCTGTACCAAGCCCTCCATTCGCCTTCTACCAAACTGCCTATCTTCAGTCACAGTAATTCTACAAACTATAAAGTCTTCAAGGAATTTGATGGTTATTAGAAAACATTTCTACAATGAGCAGTTTCCAAAAGGTTGCTTACAAATAACTACATGCACTTTGATGAAACATTTTAAACAAGTAGTTTTAGCTGCTCTGAACAGGAGCTATCCAATCTCAACAAGCAAGACTTACTTAAGTATGATTACACATCCCCTCCCMCCCACCCACTCACTTTAAGATCCTTATCACTCTGCTCAAAACAGCCTGTCTCCAGTTCTTAGTAATAACTAGAGCTGCTGGCACCGGGTGAAAAAAGCTAGTTCTACAGATGCCCTCCCTAAATCAACTTCTGTATTTTTCAAAGAAATGACATTAATATTAGTAAGGGTCATCTTACTCAAAAGTTCCCAGTGTAACTGGAAGCTATCTTAGTCTAAATCCAGCTTTACCTGAATTAATCTTGGACTGCAGCCACTTTTTCATGCATTCCTGGTGAACATACTGCAGACTTCCAGTACATTTGCATGGCTCTATCAAGAGGTTGTTAGAATTTGCAGAAGACATCTGACAGATTCTGCACAAGTCACCCTCTTCATCTTCAGAATCTTCTAAAAGCAGGCTGAATAGGAAAAAAAGATCAATAAATGCTGTGGCACATTTAATGTAAGTCTTTTCTTAGTAACAACTCCCATCATTAAACAGTTCTGAGATATCTAAGAAAAAATGTCGCTTAGGACAACAGGACTGAGATGCAACCTTCTCTTAACAAAAGGTTCTTTTCAACATCAAGGTTACAGGAAACCCTCTCATGCTAATGAAGGTACATTTTATTATCTGTCAAAAGCATACCAATTTACCTCTCTTTAATTTTCTGGAGTCTTTCTGGATCTCTTGAAGGCGGTATTTTAGACTTGTCACTTTCTTGTCCATCAGATTGATTCCAGCCAGTGGGAATAATATCTACAGTTATCATAAGATTGTCAGATAGACTGCTTCCTAATGTTGGAGGCACTGCAAAGCGAAAGAGAGAACCAGGCAGAATTCCAGAATGTCTCCTACTGTGGGTTGAATCTGGTGGGGAAGCAGTAGCTGTAGGGATACCAGATACTGCAGGTGTTGGTGGCCTGTTAACAGAAGCCCTAGGAGGGCTATCTGACTCTTCAAGAGATGTCTCCTCACCTGACTCTCTCCTTCTGAAGACATGTTGTGATCTAGCAGGTGCATCAGAGGCAGAGATCCTTGCCGATTCATCTCTTCCTTCTCTCCTCCTTCTAGAGAAGAGAGGTGTACATCTGTTCCTCAAAGATGATGATAACCAGGATCCTGTGCTCCTACTTTCAGAATCTGGTCTGTAACTTTCCCCGTCAGAGTCAGAGTTATGATTTTGTGAAACTCCTGCTAAACCCCATCTTCGTCTAAGAAAACTAAATCCCTGAGAAGCTTCAGATGTCTGAAGTCCTGGAACTTCAGCAGCTGCAGCTGCATTAGTGCTGGACAAGCTAGAAGTTTGAACTCTTGGAACTATGCATGACTCCTCAGAGCCTAATGATCTTGTAGGCAATGAGTCTTGGCTAGATCTTCGTGAGAAAAATGTCGATGACATACTAGATGCTAAACGAGACAGCAGCTGTCTGGTTGTGCGCCTTCCTTCACTATCAGCTGCAGGCCCACTCAGTGAGCTCTGAGCAGATAAAGCCCTTTCAGAACCATCTGAGGAAGGATTTTCATCTCTAATGGCAGTATGAGAAAATTCTGAGTGCATGCTCCTCTGGGGAGATTCCATTCCACCTCTACTTTGCCTTGAAGGATAACTGGATCGTGAAGAGCTCCTATGACAGTCTCTATGGAAAAAAGATGACTGATGATCAGAAGGCAACTGGCGGTTCATGGATGAGTTCAGCCTCAAAGTGCTTAACGTGTTCTCTTTTGGTCTTGCTCCCTGTGCATAAGAAGAGGCAGGCCTGTCGTGATGACCTGTTATGAAAGAGCAGAGAAAAATTAGTATGATGAGACATACCCTATATCAGTATATTAGAAGAGACGGCTCAGAGGGGATATGATTAATATGTATAAGTTCAGGAAGGGAGAATGCAGGGAGGAAGGGGACAGGCTGTTCTCACTGGTGGCCAGCGATAGGACGAGGGGTAATGGCCACAAGCTGAAGCATAAGAAGTTCCGTCTCCAGGTGAGGAGCAACTTCTTTACTGTTAGGGTGACAGAGCAGTGGAACAGGCTGCCCAGGGAGGTTGTGGAGTCTCCTACTCTGGAGGTCTTCAAAACCTGCCTGGATGCCGCCCTGTGCCACATGCTCTAGGTGTGCCTGCTTGAGCGGGAAGGTTGGACTAGATGATCTGTAGAGGTCCCTTCCAACCTTAAATATTCTGAAATATTCTGAAATATTCTGAAATATTCCAGAAGGATAATTCCTAAGTGCCAGTGAAGGACCTGAGTATCTGAAGATTCAGTGATCCTTATTTTAAGGGTTTTTGTTTGTTTGTTTTTTAATTTGGAAGGTAGATTCTAAAGCAGTAATAAATTCACCTACTGGAATTCTATATGCTAAATTGAAATTGGTATATTAAATCTATTTGAATGTAACATCCCTAAAAATCTGCATACTATCGAAGTATGACTCACTCATACAGCAACACAAAGACAGTTAACAATAACCATCTATCAAAAGTTAGAGAAAACTATTTCAGTAAAAAATGAACAAATCAACAACAGCAACAACAAAAAAGCACAGCAAAATACGTAATACCATTAAAAAATAAGTGTCTGTTCTGCCTATAGAACAAGAAAGACAGGTTAATCAAAATTTCAGCAATATAATAGTCACAAGAACACCTGAAACTAGTATGTAGATAAAGGATATATATTCCCCCTCTATTGCAACACAAGTAACCCTGAATCTTCTAGATACTGAAATACGAAGACCTAGAGTCTACTACTTAAAGAGAATAATATATCATTCAGTTTAGATAACAGCACTTTATTTGACAGTTTAAACCAATTTACTTTAAACCAAGAACTGTAGGGGAAGAAAATAAAAGGAGGGGGGTAATATCCTACAAAATATTGCAACTTCCCTTTAGTGTATTATCTGTAAACACTGCATATATATATATATCAGTTTCCTTCCTCAAACCTAGTTTAGTAGATCCTGAGGGAAAAGCACCAATACTCAACAGTACCAGCAGATTAACTTCACAATAGGGAAAATCCTTAAAGTCCTTTCAGTAGTTTAACCGCTTAAGAAATGCAAGTTAATACTAGATACTCTGATATTGAACCCTGTTTTCCCCAAAACCTTTTCTCAAAACCTTTACCTGACAGAATTTTAGAATTTCTGCACTTAAATTACTTTATTTTTATCTCAAAACTGTGGTTTACACTTCTGGCAAATCCTGCAGAAGAAAACATGTCTGCACAGATGCCAAAGCCAGCTACATGGTTTTGAATGTGCAACAGGGAACAAAGCTGGAGTTATTTTCATAGTGCTTCATGGTGGCATGACTGCTGAAGCAACAGTACAGACCGCACAAAAGAAGCCTGCCCACACATCCATTCTCCCTTGCAACACACACATGGCTCCGCCAAACTTAAGTCTTCCACTCATGTAAAGAGACATGGAGTACAATGACAAAATTTTAAAAACTCTTCTGGCAAGACTACAGGAAGCTAATTTCTAATTTTTTCTCCTTGAACCTTTCTTTACCTGTAACAATGGTGATTTTATGTCAGCACTACAAAATAGCACTAATGCATCTGCAAAATGGGCAGATCAAGACTAGTGACTAGGTCCTCTATAGGATAATTACAAAAGACCACAAAAGCCTTAACACAGAGAAGACGAAAACAACAATGCAGTAGTCGACATTACTGCTAACTAGTTAGTTGTCAACGTATCTTTCGCCACAGTGGCATATGGAACTGCAAAGTATGCATTTATTAGATTTTCAGTAGTCTCGCTGCTTTCCCTGAATACTACAGGAAAAAAACCCAAAGACATAATCCAAAGGGGTACCTTTGCAAACAAAACAAATTCTTCCATGAGTCAAATAGCTTTATTTTCACTTATTTTCTCCTATCTTCTCCTAAGGGTCTAAATAGAGACCTTAAGATGAAAACAGAGAGGATGTTTACTGAATATTCGAACTTAGTGGCAAATACTGACACTAGTTTCTTATAAACTAAACGGACTTACAACCTTAATAAAAGCACAGAGAAGCAATCTAAAGGTCTGTAAACTTTCAACTAATAATACTTACATGTTGAAGATGTAAAGTCATTGCTTCTGTGGCTGTGATCCACCAGGTTATTAAGAGATAGATCTGTTCTTCTTTCTAGCTCTCTTCGTTCCCTCACCAGCTCAGTTCCCAGAGAGCCAAGCACCACTGATGAAGACCTGGGAATACGACTATATCTCCAAGAGGAATCTAGAGGAGGGAAAATAAGTAGATCAATAAAAATATAATAACAACAACAACAATAAAAATAATATTAATAGTAAATCCCAGGCTTTTGCAATCAGCAACCATTTAAGAAAAAAGTTAAAGTTGATACTTATACATGTATTCTGGTCATACTGTATTAAGGGCAAGTCTGACAATACAGCTAAGCTGATGGAGAGGCTAGCTGCCAACATGAGGCTAAGGGCAAATAGCACGCTGCTGATGGTGGCACTTACTTGATCTTGCAGTGAGTTTCTTCTGGAAGCTAAACCAGTAATCGTACTTTTCTGATGAAAAGTATGATTACTAAAATGCAATCATACCTTTTTGAAGAGCCAGAGTCATATTTATACTCATGCAGGATTGGAAAGGGGCAAAAAAGCATCTGGCATTTTGATGGTAGCTAATTATTAGGCAGGCTTAGCTTTATGTCAAAGCAACAATTTGAAACTTAGCAAATTCTGCCATTCTAGTCATATTTCTTAAATGCTCCTGAGATTCATTTTCCAGAAAGATATCTGAAGCTTAACACCAGCTTAGGCACAAGTCTTGAAAATAGTGAAAAATACTGTTCCTTGCTCATGTTATGTTATGCTCCTTCTGGACATTAAAAACAACCTCCATCATCTAAATAGAGAACTGTAAATATTTAAGCTGTAAACAAAGCTCTCATTCCAAAAGCTACTCTTCAGCAGTTCTAAAAGAAGTCTACTTTGATGATAATTTTTAATCCAAAACTAAGTAGGAATATTGGTAATGTGGCAACCAACCAATTCACAATGGGATATTTCTCACCTAAGAAGAAACATTAATGTTGGTCATTTTATTAACAAATAAGAAAGCATCTACAGGACTGCAATTTGAGCAGAAATTGACTGACTTATTTGGATGGCTGTGATTACATAAGGAGATGTAAAAGGAACACAGAATCCATTCACAAGGATAATTTGCATAGGTATAAAGGTCTTTTTTAAAATGTTCTAGAAATAATTTCAGGGCAAGATTTTGATCTTTGTTTCCTGGTCTTTTTTTTTTTTTTTTGGTTAGCACATTACATATAACGCATCCAAGTAATACATACTTATTCACAGCCTCAAAGAAAATCTTTCTTCCCTCTGAAAAAAAAATCCCAGCATACCATGCTTATTTTTGCCTAGCATGTAGAATGATCTTAGCCCTAGCAAAAAAAACTTCCTTCCCTGACCCCTGCCAACAGTACTCTAATGTGCCATGGTACTCCATTTCTTGCAACAGAGCTATGTATATATAATGGCTTAAATTCTGCTGCCCCTAAAATATGTAGTTTTACCAATACAAGTTGACTCTTGAAATAGTAACAGTATTCATTACTTCTTTGAAATCTTAAACAACTAGATATATACAAGGCATGAAGTTTGCCTTTACTAAAAATGAAAAAGATATGGAGAATAATTTTGAAATTATACCACATTGATAGCCTTCTTGGTATTTTGAATGAGGATATCGGTATGAAAATAACCTTGTAATGAGAATAATTTCTTAATACTTAAAATTTACTTTGAATTTATTTCAGATTAAGCCTTAAAGCTTGGTAAAGCATCATCTCCCTTAAACAATTCTCATGTCTCCCTTAGACAGTTCTCATTCAGCCTCTCACCTGAAATTGCATTCAAGTTATTGTTTCTCAGAGAAGAGGTAGATGTGCAAGATAGCTTTGGTCTCTTTGAATCGCTGTCTCGCTGCTGGTTATTCAGTCTTGAATATGCTCCCTGAGTTCTCTCAGACTCACCATAACATGCAGATGTAAAATGAGAGGAGGAAGATGTAGACTGAAAAAAACATATTAAAAAAAAAAATCAAACAAACAAACCCATACAATTACGAATACAGGATTTCACATGTGCTTTTTGTAGATTAATATACACAGTGTTAAGCATATACGACTTGCAAAAACAATAAATTTACCTTTAAGAGGCCAAGTCTTTTAAAGAAAAAAAATATTGTAGGATTTACGCTCCTGTCCTTCATTAACATTTTCAAGTTTTATCAAGGCAATCCCACCAACAAAAGTTGGTTTCCGCTGTAATCAGCCTTATTTTGCTTTTTAGATGAATGCAACTTTACAGAGGAAAAAGACATTCGTGGCTAAGTTTACAGGTCTCCATCCAAACATAAAACTAAAGTTAGAACATAAGCTACTCCTATCTAAAAATAGTTAAGTATTCTAAAGCAGAGCCCCAAAAACTATTAAGTTAGTATCATCTGAGCCAACACTATCTTAAGAAAGGTCCCTTAGAAATACCTGATTATCCTAGTCATGATAAAATTTACACTGTTCATTATTCAACTTGTTCTACAGTGTTCATGCATAATCTCCCTCTCCTTTTTTTTTAAATGGAGATTAGAGAGCCATTTGCATCTCAAATCTCAAAAGTATTTCTTAACTGGGAAGGCTGAAGAAAGACTTTATCTAGAGGAATAAATGAATGAATGAGCGAATGAATGAATGAATGAATGTCTTACCAATCTGTTTCTGCTTCCCAAAAATCTACCAGACCGTGGATGATCAAATGTCCCTGAGTAGCGAGTTGGAGAGGATGTTGTAAGCTTCCAAGGAGTTTCATGGGCCTCTCTTTCTCCAATACCCCAGTCTCTACCGGAACCATTCAATACACTTGATTCCTAAAAAACAACATGCTTACATCCACTTTGCAACTCAAAATGACCTCAATATATTTTTTGAAAATTGAATATATGAGAAGATGGTACTAACAAATTTGGAAACTGTTCAGAGAAAGCTTTATGGAAGATACTCAAGAAAATAATGAATCATGCCTTGAAAAGAAACACTGCCAAACAGAAGTATTTCTTTATTCCTCTCCAACAATTTTCACTTTTCCTCATAAAAATATTTTTGCTCTTGCTCCTTACTACTATTCCTTATTGCTCTTGCTTGCTCTTCTGTTGCTCTAAGAAGAAATTTAAGTGGCACATAGCTGTAACTCAAGGTGCAATCCTTTTGCATGCTTTAACGTGTTATTCCTATTTATAGGAATATATATTAGGAATATTTATAACATTCTGTCTTCCAGCAAGAAGACAGAATGACCCCAACGTTCAAGTACAAAATGGTGGAAAAAGTAGTATTTTGAGCCTACTGACAGGATTTGCTTTAACACACATTCTCTGTCCAAGTAAAATGATGGGACAAGTAGATGCGACAACAAATGTAAACTATGCAAAAAAGACTTCATACCCTTCTCAATTTCATAAAAGGGGAGAAAAAAAATCAGTTTGGTCACATACCAATAATTTCACAACATCAATTAATCTCAAGGCCAAGCCTTTTTCAGACTGATACATGGACTGAGCGGGTCCATACATTGCTTTTGCAGTATAGATGGACAGTGAAAAATAGGTAGGAATACAAAATAAAAAAAAAAAAAAAGAAGAGACTTAAAACTACCCTTAAATAGTCTGTTGTCTATATACTAACAAACATAACGCATGCAAGATGCAACAAAGCATGTATAACACACATGGCTGCATACATACTGTGCTAAGAATAGTCAGACAATCCAATACTTGTAAAATTGTTTCTGGGAAAGGAGTTATATAACACAATTTCTGTTACAGTTTGCTAGCAGAAAATCTATTTTTACCAATTTAATAGAAAATATAAACATTAAGATCCAGGACTGAAACAGGCTTAGATCTTTGTGCCCCAAAATTTGATATAAGAGTTGCTGACAGTAACAGAAACAAACAAAAAACAAACAAAACAAAACAGAAAGAAAACCAACAAATTTAAAAAAAAACAACCAAACAACCCTCTTTTGCTTTTAAATTCCTGAAAATTTCTGAAGTAATTTAATCTCTACTTTAATATTCCTTCAAAGGATAAAGTATCTACAGAGTGTCACTTACTCTTTTGAGTACAGCTTCCCCACTCCGACAAGAAGCAATTTGACTACAATGTAAAACACTGGGATATGATACAGCAAAACCCTCACCCCAGTTCTGCTTATCACAGACAAAGTCTAGCTGTATTAACATGCTAACAGTATAACATAAGACTGGAGGTTCTCTTGTTTCTACTACTGCAAAATTTGAAGTACTCACAGCAGTACAGCCTACTGACAACTCTTAGGACTGCAATGTCTTCCTTATGTGTTTTTGCATCACTACCCACAGAGAAAATCCCATTTATCCAGGTTTAAGCCTGCAGTGACTACCGCCTCAACAATGAATCAGTAGTTCCCAGACACCCTTTATTCAACAAGCAGCAGATTGTTAAAACATAAAGTTTTTAAAGCCAAAGCAGAGGTGTGTAAAGACAGCATACCAGAAACTACTAGTTCTAATCTCTGTATTTTGAAATTAATCTTGTGGGGTTTTTTTGTTTGTTTGTTGTTTTTGTGTTGTCTTCCTCCACAAATGCAGGAAACTAGATGGGGTTTTTCCTTATATTTCCCTATTATTTTTCTCTCCTTTTTTTTTTTGTGACAGTCATTAGATGAATAGGTATCTTGAGTGATTTCATACTTTATAGAAACACACAAAAGGCATTACCTGGAATCCAGACTCTAACCTCCGTGAAGACTCTCTTGCACTGTATGCACCAGCTAAACTGCTTCCAGTCACTGTTCTAGATCCTAGAGAAGCACTAGAGGCCTGAACAGATATCCTTCGAGGAATTCTCGAGGGTTTAGACTCCATTCTTCGTATTCTGTATGAGGACACAGTGATTACTTCTTTTAGAAGCAGAGACATACATGTAAAACATACAAAGGTCATTCCAAGTGTGTTGTAATTATGACACATATACACATTTTCAAATTGAGCTTCGGTCTTGTCATGAATCAGTAATATGGAAAAGCAAGTTATTTCCCTAGTTCCCTAAAACAAGATCTCCATGTTAGGAAACCAGGAACAAGGCTCCTCCTCCAACTCTCCTTCAAGTTTTTGAGCTTGATGATACGAAGAATTTAGAGTGGGACTTCTCTGAAGAACTCTGCATCTCTAACACCAACACAAAATGAGCCTGAAAGACTCCTCAGACTTCCCAAATTCTTAAATTCTCTTTCTGCTATTTAGCTGCAACTCAAACATGAGAAGCTGGATTAACGGATCCAGCACGATACCAAGGATAAAAATGTCGCTGCTCTTACTTGACAAAGTGCACTAGCACAATCAGCTTGGTTCTGGGTCACTTTGGTTCAGACAGGTATGGAACCAGTTGAATTAAATAATGACAATCAAACAGCTAGATGTAAAATATATATTTATATATGTATACATACATATATATGTATATATTTATACAAAACATATAAAATATTTTCTTGAAGAAAGCAGGTAAGCTTCTACCAACTGAAATTAACATCCAGATGAACAGGGAGAAAGAAAACAGTAGGCTAAGAGGGGGGAAATTTTAAAAACTGAAACAAATATCACCTAATGTTAATAAAACTTCTTAGGCACCATTTACGGAAGAGACAAAATAAGTCTCTGTTCAGACAAAAAAGGACAGGGTAGTAGTCTTTGGACACTACAGCCAATTAATTTCTGGAAGCTGAAATGGAATTCCAAGATTAGCAAATTAATTCTGCAGGTGTACATAAAAAGACACGAGGCTAATTTTCTCTTCTGGTGCCAACTCCAAGAGGACAATTTTAACAATCTGCTTAATGCCATAAATTAGCAGAAACACTTGTCTTTCGTGATTACCAATCAAACAGACGTCAAAATGATACTATATATAGCATTTGCTTGTTCTCCTTTAGTCAAGGCAATGAAATTCTGCTCAAGAAAACGGGATTTTATCTGCCTTTCAACAAAGTTTGAAAACATAATCTCAAAAAAAAAGCTACTACAAAAAGAATTCCTTACTTTCTGGGCTATTACATAGCTCTTGAAGTACTCTGGAAAAACTAGTTACGAGGCATCTCTACTTTGGCAAGCAATACTAGTGAAAAACCTTGTATTTTTATGTGGTTTTTAACAAAAGATGTGTGCAAAACATTTCAAGCACTGTCAGTAGCAGAAAATTGTTTGAGAAGTGAACATCCTAATAGTTGTTTCTAAATACATAGAAGCATATATGACTTCTACTGATTATGGTTACATAATGAAACATTCACTAAGAATGTAGTAAGCTATCACAGCATGCAGGATAGAGCAAGGTAGTGATCTCATAGTCAAAAACAAATAAAGCACACACTCATTATCATTAAAACCACAATAATATTTGATTGCAAGGGAACATATTTTAAAGGATATTTCAGAATGGAATATTTCACTTGAAAAACATCACCACCTTCAAGGGTTCTTCCTTTTCTTTTTTTTTGAACAAGCACAAAAACACTCAAATTTAAACTTCCTACATTGTCCTTAGCCACAGAGGAATCCAGCAAATCCCAAATGAAAATTATCATACCATAGCAAGTTTTTTTAATGATATAGTACTGTCACCTCAATTTACACAGAAGGTAATGTGGCGGAAAAATACTCAAGCAACTTCTCTAAGGAAAAAATCCAAAATTCTAAGTTGTGTTACAGTCTGAACTGATTTAAAAGCCTGTTGTTGCAAAAAGGAAGGAAATGCTTAATCTTACTGAAATCTGATACCTGCCATGCTGCTCACTAAGCAATCTCAAATCATCTCCCTGGCAAAAGAAAAATACTTCCAGCTTCTCCATAATTTTAACATTTTGATATTACTCATGCTACTATTCAGTAATGACTGGAATTGCTACAAGGCTGATACAAATGTAAAAAATAGCAGAGAAATGGGAATAAGGGGTGAAAAACATTCCTCTTCTCATCAAACTGTTACATCAGTTCAAGCCACGTTATGCAACTCTGCAAACAAACCCCCCATGAAAAAATCTGTCAGCAACTCCTGCATGTCCTGGAATAAAAGATACATGTGATTATGTCTCAAGACCAGGTAAGAAAACAAGTTCTGAAATCAAGCTTTAAATTTAACTTGAAGTTGTACCTGAGACATAGCTGACCAATTTGTATAAGACACAGGGGGGAGGCTGGTATTTTGAACAGCCTATTCTGAGCACACAGCTCTCTTGTCCTGACCTTAATTTGCCATCAATCCAGCTAAAAAACAGCAGATCAACTAGACCTAGCAACCACAGATGGAGACAACAGCAGATAACATCAGATTTGATGGATCTTTGTGGGAGCACAGTTCAAAGTCAGAAAGTAAAAATAAGATAGGCATCAAACAACTAAAATAATTTTAAAGATAATAATAAAAAAGAGGAAGACCTCACTCTGCTGTCTTAAGCCCCCTCTACTGTCATTTCTCTAGACCTGAGCTTTTTTCCTTTACAGGTAATGGTGGGATTTTTTTATATGCTTTCTTATAGAACCATTCATAAGGCTTTCTGTCAAGTAATTGGTGATAAGAATATTAACACGTTCTTCCTCAAGAGCTACCCTGTAAAAATACATATTATGGCAGACAAAGTGGAGTTCGGGGAAAATTCAGCCTGCACAATTCATTGCTCGAGGTTCTTCAGGAAAGGCAGAAGCTGCCTCCAATGTGCCCCAGGATCAGGAAACAATTTACAAGAGCTTCCCATGCTTGAGAACAGTATATTCTGGTATTCTAGCCTGCAAATTCGCACAGCTGCAGCAGCTGCTTCAGAGCACTCAGCTGCTTCCCCAGACCACAGCAAACAGGCTCCAAAAGCGGGTGCTCTCTGCGGCAGCTGGCAGAGGGCACCAGAGCCTTCTCAGGCCGGAAGGCCCAGCTGCCGTGATGGGCAGGCACTCACGGCTTTGCCGCTCCACAAAGACCCCCGTCAGCGCTTCAGGCCAACGCCACGGGACAGTCTGGGCCGGGACGGGCCTAAGGGCAGTTTCGGGCACCCTGTGCCGAATCTGCAACTGGGGGCACTGAAGAGAGGGCATCTCGCAGCAACACAAGCCAAAAAGGCGATCGAGACCACGCAGGCACTGAAATCGCCAAAGGTGCTCGACGGAGGACAGGCTGGAGGAGCTGGGCCCGGCCCTAACCGCAGACAAAATGGTTCCCCTGGCCTGGCACGGAACCGCTCGCCCCACAGCCAGGCGCAGCGCGGGCACCCTCCCCACTGCCTACAGCAGACTGTACTCACTCGCTGTGGCGCGGCCGCAGCCACTCGGCAGCTGAGGAGAGGCCGAGTCGGCCGAGCCGACAGGCGACCGTCCCACCACAACCGCCACCGAAGGCCTCTCGCTGCAACACAATGGCGGCAGCGTCGGGCCTGCAGTGCCAATCACGGGTCGGCCCCGCCCCGCCCAACTCTCGCGAGAAAGGCGGCTCGAGTGGCGGGAGCAGATTGGGGCGGGAGCGGGGAGAACCAAGCGTGTCGTCTCCTCCCTCCCCCCCCCCATCATGGCACTCTTGCCGAAGCGCCGTGCCGAGGCGCCGTGCTTCGCCTCTCCGTGCTGCGGCACGGCTCGCCACCCCGCACCGCGCATCATCTCGCCGTGCTGGCACGCCATGCATCTCCTCACCACGCTGAGCCTCGTCGTGCTTCACCACACCTCCCTGTGCCACATGTCATCTCTCCGCGCTATGGCACACCTCATCACTCCTTGCCATGCCGCACCTTGTCCTGCCAGTACAGTTGGGGCAATGTGAGCAGCCTCTGCACAGACCATGCAGTGTCACAAAGGGACCCCAATTTTGCACTTAATACTGCTCACCTCAGTTGTTCAAGAGTTATGGCAGTCTGCAAAAATTAAGTGAACTGAGAAGCCCAAGCATTAAAGCCAGAATTTCTTTCCATTTCTTGCAGAAACAGCCAAACAGTGTTTTTCATCAACCTCCAGGGTCAGCATTCAGTCTTATGCTGCAATAAGAGTGTGACTGTTCTTCCTATGCCCTGTGTTCTTCCCAAATTCAGACTTATTTTATAAATGAATCCGCACTATCTCTTGAATAGCCTCAAAGAGCCAAGGTTTGGTTTCATTTCCCTGAAGAACACAGTGGGATGGTTATACTGGAGGAAGCCTCCTCAGCTGCAAAGATATGGAAATCCCATTCAGTTTAATTGTATTCAGACCGCTTTTGTCCTCTTAAAAATAATAGACGAATAGACAGTAGCAGACACTTGTACTTAAGGACAAAAGTTTGCATGACCTTATCAAATCAGGAGAAAATCTATCAAATTATGAAAATGCCAGCCTTTGCAAAATGATGGACAATCCTAACAAATGATGGGTTCTGGTATCTTGGCAATCTACATGGTAGAGATCTCACACAGTTGCCTTTGTGAACAAAGGTCTGAGAAAGGCTGGTTTTGCTTTGGCATCTGTCGTGCTAGTGCTATGAAGTCTAGGCTAGCTGTCTCTGCAGTCATAAGTCTCAGCGTTTCAGTAATCCAATACCCACCTGTCATCAGTTTAGTGCAGGACTTCCCCGAAAGTCAACATCAGCCTAAATGTGGTTTCATTGTTGCTAATTGGATAAAGGAAGTGTTTCTATTTGGGAAAAGGAAAGAAAAAGGGAATAAAGCAATAAACAAACAAACAGAAATACTCTAGCAGGGAGCTGCACCGCATACAGATTCAATGTGTGCGTGCCTAATAGCTCTGACAGATCTGGGACACGTATGAGTAAGACCAGCCAGGCTGGTTACAAACTAGCCAGGTGGCATCTCTAAATGGTAGGGACTGAGCTATGTTTAGCAGCTTCCTTCATCCTGTTACCCTTACATGCATTTAAGTGTGGTGTTGCATATGCTTGGGTTATGACCATTTTGTTCACCAGCTCTCTTCCATAAAGGAACTGTGGGCAAAGTACTGGTGAAAAGGAGAGAGAGGTACAAGAGAGAGAAGCAACTTAATTAAACTGGCAAAGGGTCTACTAGAAAAAACTTCAATAGCAGAATCGTGGGGGGAAAAATTAAAGCATCTTAACAAGTTAAAGGAAAATAATTTGAGACAAAAAAAGCAAAGATTACCATAGCAGGGGTAAAGAGAGGGGAAAAGCAGACACTTTTCTGAATTTTATAATGGTTTTTTTTTTTTTTCCTTGAGGTCCTGCTGCCTTTCACTGACATACCTGACACTCTGTATAATGAGTTTGGAAAAAGCTTGTCTACAACAGCCTGAATCAGGCTATTCCCTCTGCCAATATCATTTATTTGGCACATCTGTCCCCAGGGAAAGAAGACAGCTGGGAATGGACTTCATGAATAATTCTAGCAGTAGCAGCTGTCCTTTTTCTCTGGTTAGAAAACAAGAACATAGAGCTAAAGTGTTAGACCTACTGTAAATTCAGTGCTTAAAAGAGGCCTTCTACCTTTTAGTCATGCATCAGTCAACTATAATTCACAAAACAAGTATTTCACACAGCAGTAGTCAAAACGATTGTGTGAATGAGGAGGTCAGACCATACAGCCCTCCTGCTGCCAGAACAAATCATGGCCACCACTAAGCAAATCCATCATGTTGTTCCTTTTACAAGAAAGTTAAAAGGTATAGAGGGTGAGCTTTGTCCAATTCAAAACTTCAGAGTTATTCATCCCAGAAGAAGAGGATTCACTAGGAATGCAAAGGAAGATGTCACAACATGTACAACATTAGCACTGCATGATGCTTAGGTAAAAAATAGACAACACCAGCTTCATAGTATCTTGCAGTTTCAGACTATGATCTACTAAAGTTAGGAAGAAATGCTATGGGAAGCTCAGCCACTTGGAAGAAAACAGATTTTGTGAGAGAATGGGCAACTAGAAATACTACGAAATTAATCTGACTTGAATCTACCTGCTTCCATGCCTTTGATAAGGTTAAAGAATATGATTAAACAGAAGCACCCTCAACCTGTTACCTTTCTACTCACAAGCATATTATTACACAAGCTCTTGTAATTTCAGTTATGATCAACCAATATTTTTTTACATTTTCCTTCAGTTAAATCCCAAATTGTATTTCAAAATCATGCGATTGTGCCTTTCTGGCAATGACTGACAATCTAATCAGTCTTTGTGAAATGTGATGATACTGATCATTAGATCTATCCTGTCCCAGGATAATGTATTTATAATTAAATAAGTTTTCTTACTCAAAGTAGAAACATTGTAGAGGTTTTTGATCCAGTACTCAGATTTACCAAAAAAAAAAAAAAGTAACTCTATGAGCTCAAGCAGTGTAATTTGTCTTTATCCTGAGAAGATGAATGAAGTCATGTCAACAGTATAGCCAATAAACCTTTCATAAGTTATTACTAACAAGATATTGCATCACTCCTCAAGTAATACAGATCATGTGTTGCATCAGGCAGTGCTAATGTTGTACATGTTGTGACATCTTCCTTTGCTTTCTACTTTTGTCTTGTATCTTTGTTAATTTTGGCATTTTTGGTCACCTTTAATATTGCCTAATATCCATTATGACCTTCTGAGGATTTAGTTTTAACAGAATCTCTCAAAATTGAAGATCAAAACCTATAAAAACATTAATGAGAAAATTAAAGAGCAAAAAAAAAAAAAAAAAAAAAAAAACCTAAAAGCCACAATCTAATAAAATCACGAACATGGGCCTGTTCTCAGGGCAGAGCCAGCTCCTTAGCAGTTCTGACAGTCAGGGCAGGTAAGATATGGCCAGCCCTGTCCTGCTAGCTGCAATGTGAGGAGCCCAGTTCATCGCTGGTGGTGGCCCTGGATGCTCCCTGCACAGCCCTGTTGTGCTCAGCGGCCTGTGGCGCTGCGAAGACTGGAGCAGTGAGTTCCTGTGAAGCTTTTTGCCAGAAACCTGCTTGGGGGCAAGATCTTTCTTCATGCTTGTTAAAAAAGGCCATTTTTTTTTCTATATGAAAAGTTAGTAAGTCTGTTTCTTCTGGAAGTTTGCTTTCTTTAGGAGCAGAGCAGAGGTGTGTGTGTAGGGGAGGCGATGAATGTTGATTGAATGTTTATTAATTAAAAAAAAAAATTCATCTCCATGTGAGGAAGAACTTCTTCACTGTGAAGGTGACAGAGCCCTGGAACAGGCTGCCCAGGGAGGCTGGGGAGTCTCCTTCTCTGGAGATCTTCCAAACCCGCCTGGATGCCACYCTGTGCCCCATGCTCTGGGTGTCCCTGCTGGAGCTGGGGGTTGGACTAAATGATCTCTAGAGGTCCCTTCCAACCTCAACCACTCTGTGATTCTGTGATTCTGTGATTCTGTGAAAGTCATTCTTACATATAACTCACTTCTGATTACTATCTGGAAATAGACACTTTCCAAAGGATTTTTCCATTTCTGATCAGACTGAAGGAATTTTATTAAAGAGCACTGACCTCTTTAAACCTCTATGACATTTAGATTTCATCCTGTTCTTGTTTGTTTGCTTGTCTGTTTGTTTTTTAAAAGGTCAAGTAGAGTCCTAAGAATTCTGACCCTCTCTCTGTAAGAAACTGCGGTTTGGATTTGGATTCAAACCAAGAAAAGATTTTTGGATGTTCTTCATATACATAGTCCCAATTATTATAGTAACAATTCAGGTTTGTAAAGCTGGAGGCAGGAGGCAAAACTTCACAGGGAGCAGGCAGAATGCCCTAGCGTAAGAGTCAAGAATCAGTCTATTTGACACTTGCTATGAAATACAGTTTAAGGAATACACTGTCTGCAGTATGTACAGAGCATGGAAAGTGATTGCAGAAAAAGAATAGGCTGAAGAACTTGCAGACAACCAAAACTCATGAAACCTTATCACTTTACTACTTTTTTTCTGCATAGAAAAGTTGCTTTAGGTTGTATGTGGACTTGTTCTCTTGCCTTTGTCGTATCAGCTAAAATAAGTACTGCAGAAACAGTTTCTACAAAAGATTTTATACAATGCTAAAGATTATCTTCAATTCTTGGGCCACCCCTTTCTTCTTTGGGTTATACTTCAACAGCAGATTCCAACATGCAGCACAGACCATGACACTAAAATGTTGTCTACATCCTCTGGCAGACTGGAAGCTAGGGGGGACGAGTTGTGGGATTGTTCTTTGTCGACTTCCTAAACCACAAGGGCAGCATCATATAAATTAGTTCCCAATATGTTACATATAAAGGCAAATTATGACGTGCAGGAAACAAAAAAACAAACAAACAAAAACAAACAAACAAAAAAACCACCACAGAGTTCAGAAGTTCATTCTAGGCTGCCTATAGTAAGTATTGCACAAGAAAGAAGACTCCTGAAAGTGGACTATGAACTAGCAAGTTGTCCTTGGAAGACAGATCTAAATCACCATACACAG